TGAGGCTCGGGTGGTGGGGGGCGGGAGTGACTTGTCCTGGGGCAGGGAGATCATGAGTGATGTCAGCACACGAAGCCAGGCAGCCTGACTACAGCTGTCCCAAAAAAGGTGGGGTCCAGCCGTGGACGGTTTTGGGGATGGTGCCAGTGGGCTGAGTCCTCTGCATCTAAGACAGCGAGGGCCACAGAAGCCAGGGGCTCTGGCAAGCACGATGCGGCCCGGGGCAGTGCTAGTGGGCAGTCCCGAGGGAGGACACCCTTCCCCTGACTGCACGTTTACTGGCCCTGGAGAAAAACTGCAACCCACACTTCTTGAGACCTTACTCAGTACTTGGGATACGTGGTAAGTGCCTCCTAAAGACCATTTCCTTTCATCTTCACGTCTCTCTGAGGGAAGTGTTACTGCTGTCCCCATTTTACAGATGGACACAGGGCGGGGGGGTCAGGAATGGTTGTCCGAGGAAGTGGCCTGTCACCTGACACCTAAAGGACCATATTCCTACAAAGGCCACCAGATGTAAGGAACTCACCCAAGGGAGGGGTAAAAGGGCCGGTGGGGCTGAAGCGCAGGGAGGGAAGGGCACGGTGGGGGCTGAGGCCAGCCCCTCTATCCCAGCTTCTCACCAGCCCCGAAGGCCCCAGGCAGAAGCTGCTGATACACGCCAAGACCAGACCGAGCACGATGTTGCAAGACTTGAACCGAAGCCCTAGCGCTTCTCCTAGCAGCCTGGTACTATGGCGAGAAACTGGGCTTTAGAGTCCAGAACTCCGAGGTCAGACCTCACCTCCCTGGGCCTCAGTTTCCCCACTCGTGATAGGAGAAAACTGCCGGTCCCTATTATTGTGGCTATATTAGACAGAATAATGGAGTGAACTGGTAGCATAACTCGTAAGTGCTTCCTAACGTGAAAAACGAGGCCTCGTACCTTAAGACACTAGCCAAGAGGGAGATGGACCCATACGGTGAGGAGACAAGCAATGACCATCTCCATTCATCCCTCAACACACATTGGGCACCGCCACTTGGAGATAGTGCACGGGGCGCTGGGGCACTGCGGTCCCCAACGGGCTGCCCCTGACAGCTGGGTCAGAAAAACATCACTGATGATCCACACACACAGCTCTGTCCCAGAGGAGAGACTCCACTCACCCCACCTGCTAGGCTCAGAGAAGTGAAGTGACTTGGCTGGGGTCCCTCTTGCTTCTTGGGGTGGTGGCTGAGAAACCAGCTCAGGACTCCCTGACAATTAAGTTTCCTTTCTCCTCTTCTCCCTGAGCACTAAAACATCTGCTCTCACCTGGGCGGGGAGGGACGGAGAATCAGACAAAGGCCTCCTGAGCAACAGGGCTTTCAGTCAAGAACATGGTGAAAGGAGAGGCAAGCAGGCAGAGATGAAGTCAGGCAGCCCCAGCCTTTTCCCCAACCCCGCCTGCTCCAACAACCCATCCGTCAGCTACAACACAGCCTCTCAACCTTCCCCCAAAGCACTATCTCTAGGCTCGGCCTTAATGGGCTGAAACTGCACCATCCAATATGGCAGCCACCAGCCACTCGTGGCTATTTAAACTTATTGAAATTAAATAAAATGAAAACTTCAGTTCCTGGGCCATACTAACCACACTGAGAGCTCAGTAGCCATGTGTAGTCAAGTGGCTACCGTACTGGGCTGCACAGATCTAGAAGACCATCATCATCACAAAATGTTCCACAGATCCTGGTCTACAATCTTTGACTAGGGGTGCCTGGGTGGCTCAGTCAATCAAGCGTCTGCCTTCAGCTCAGGTCATGATCCCGGGGTCCTGGGATCCAGCCCTGCGTCAGCCTCCCTGCTCAATGGGCTCAGCAGGGAATCTGCTTCTCCCTCTCCCTCCCCCCACCCGCTCATGCACGAGCACACGCTCTCAAAAAAATAAATAAAATCTTTAAAAGTACTGTTTAAAATCTTTTTTGACTAAATCCCACCACTCCTTCCCTTAACTCAAAAAAATCTCCTTTTTAATCTTAGAAAAAACAAGTGGGAGAGGGGTGCCGCGTTGGCTCAGTTGGTAGAGCATGCGACTCTTGATTTCTGAGTTATGAGTTCAAGCCCCACACTGGGTGTATAAATTACTTCAAAAATATAAAATCTTTAAAAAAAATTGGAGTAATAAAAGTGGGAAGAGAAAGCAAGGACTATAAAAAATATATAAACTTAGGGACGCTTGGGTGGCTCAGTTGGTTAAGCGTCTGCCTTTGGCTCAGGTCATGATCCTGGAGTCCCAGGATCGAGTCCCACATCGGGCTCTCTGCTCAGTGAGGAGCCTGCTTCTCCCTCTGCCTGCCGCTTCCCCTGCTCGTGCTCGCGCGCGCCACTCTCTCTGTCAAATATATAAATAAAATCTTAAAAAAAAAAAAAAACCCATATATATATATATATATATATATATATATAAACTTAAAAATACACAAAAGGTAAATACCCTGAAAAACCCCCTCCAAAAAAATCCCCCCATCCCATCACCCACCAAAAAAAATTAAGGAGGGGAGTCAAGAGAGAAAAGCAGCAGGGAGACTGAGCCTGGAAGGAAGGATTTAATCAGCCATAAATGACCTCTCCCTACTTTCTGCCCCAGTCCTGCCCACCTCCCGCCCCACAGGCCCAGCCAATGGACTCTTGGGACTGGAATCAGCCACGCAGGATCTGATTGCTCCAAAAAAAGCTACAAACAACAGCCCAAAGGCAGGAAGCTGCCCCACCCCCAGCCTGCTCCAGCAACCATTTCCACAATTACCTGCTTTAAGGTGACTCCTTTTCCTATCTATGTCCCCTCCCCCTCACACCTGGCCCACCCTCTTCATTCTCCTCCCCTGCTTCTCTCCCTATCTAGAGTGTCTTCCCACCAATTCTACCTTCCTCTCCTAATGGATTAGGGATCAGAGGGTCAGACCCAACCTCACAAGACCTGGACAGTTTTCCCTCCAAGGGCCCTCACCAATCCAGGTCCTGCCAAGGTCACCTCCTTTCTTCTGATCTCCAAGGTCAGTTTCTGTCCCTTCCCTCCACCCTCACTTTCCTATTGCCCTTATTAAATACCAGGTCCAGTTCTCAGCACTTTACATTTTTTATTTTTACTACAATCCTACAAGGTGGTCAGTTAGCATTTTAGAAAGAGGGAAATGCACCCCTCTGTAGAGGTCGAGAGGAGCAGTCCTTTGCCCAAGGCCACACAGCTGAAAAGCAGCAGTTTAGGAATATGAATTCACCTTCCAAAACACTACTCTCTGATCTATAAAATTTCAGTTCATGACTCTTCCGCAGCCCAATGCCTCTCTCCCTCTAATCGGAACTTCCAGCTAGACTTCTGCTGTGTGAACTTAAACTGTTAGCAGCATCAACGCAAGGGGATTCTGACCCTTTTGATCCCTTTTGATAAGAATTAAGCATTTCTCGGGGGCCCCTAGGTGGCTCAGTGGGTTAAGCATCTGCCTCAGGTTAAGCGTCTGCCTTCAGCTCAGGTCATGATCCCGGAGTCCTGGGATGAGCCCAACATCCGGCTCCCGGCTCAGCAGAGTCCACTTCTCCTTCTGCCCCTCACTCACCCTGCTCACGCTCTCTCTCTCGCTCTCACATAAATAAATAAATAAAATCTTTATTTTTTTATTTTTAAGATTTTATTTATTTATTTTTGCGAGAAAGAGGGAGTGCGAGAGAGAGCATGAGCTGAGGGAGAGGCAGATGGAGAGGGAGAGGCAGACTCCCCGCCGAGCAGGGAGCCCAACGCCGGCAGGATCCTGGGATCCTGGGATCGTGACCTGAGCCGAAGGCAGACGCTCGACCGACTGAGCCACCCCAGCACCCCAAATAAATAAAATCTTAAAAAAAAAAAAGAAGAAGAAGAATTAGGCATTTCTCAAGTGTTACTCAGAAACGTGGGCAAGGTGGTGCCCTGTCTGGACCTCTCTCCCTCCTCTTTTCCCCAACAAAATTTTACTGATTATCTCCTCTGTTGAGTGACCAAAACATTAGACAAGGTCCCTGTTCTGACATTCGATCAGGGACACAGGATCAAACGACTTTGTTACGCAATTCATTTAAAATCAGAACAGTAGTAAAGGAACAAAAAAATGCAGGGCACTTTGAAAGCCCGCGTCGGAGAACCCGATCTCTTTTTTCTCCTTTTTGAAGGGGGAGGGGGGGCCTTTACCAAGAAGAAAGTCTCTCCTTCGTGCAGTTTCACTCTCCAATGCCTGCGAGGAAATGTCTCGCCTTCCTCCCGTGTCCCTCCACGCGGCCTCCCGTAGGGTTGAGTGGCAACTAAAGAGGAATCCCCTCCCTCTCTCCAAGTTGTCTCCCTCCCTCCGGGTCCACAAAGGAGCTGCCTCACTTCTCATTTCCTGAGGAAATGGAAGTTCTTCCCGACTGTCTTCTCCGATTAGTTCTCCCAGCCCCAGTCCCTTCTATGACAGCCCTTCCTTCACTCCCTGCACAGACCCCACATCGGAAGACGGCGTTGACATCCTTACTCTCCCTCGGGGAAAACTCCCCAGGTACTCACAGATCTAGCCAGCCCCCGAGCCCCAGGCCGCCGCAGGAGCAGGAGGCCAGCCTGGCCCAAGCCTCGACTTGAGCCCCAGACCCTCGCTGCTGCAGCCGCCACCGCCATCTTGGCTAACAACCCCTCAGCACTCCGCCCCTCTCCTCGGCTAGACTGCGGGCTGCCCCTTTATGAACCTGATTGAAATGTTAGCACCGCCCTGCCAAGAAACCGCGAGTTACCAATCCTGCAGTCTCTAGGGCACGGGTATGGGTGGACCAAACAATCTAGCTTGCCAAAAATCACTCTGATCGCCTCATCTTCGTTGTTTCTGTAACAGGCAAAGAAGAGGACAACCTAACCGGAGCCTCAGGGCTTTAGGGCCAGGGGGCCTCGGGTAGGACGAGCTCATGCCAAGGCCCGCCCCCTCATCTCTACTCTCCAATGGCATTCCTGGATTTGCGAGGCGGGAGTGGGAGGGGCCAGATTGTTAGTAAACGCGGAGCCACGTGCGGGCGCGGGTCCTGGCGCCCCGGAGCGGCGCGTGCGCACTGGATACGCAGCCAGTACGCAGGCGCGCGCTTTAGGGCGGAAGCGAGAGTCCGCGGCTGCACGTGGGGTCTGGGGCGATGGATGGGGCGATGCTGCCTGACGCCAAGATCCGCACTGAGTCCGGAACAGAGTCCGGCCCACGGGGCCCGGGCTGCAGCCTCCGGCACTTTGCGTGTGAACAGAACCTGCTCTCCCGGCCTGACGGCTCTGCCTCTTTCCTGCAAGGTAAGAACTTAACCTACGTAAATACTGCGCGGGCCATGTTCGCCACGTTGTATTTGTTTTAGAAGGATGTTACAGTGTACCTTGCAAAGGAGTGCCACTAGCTGATAAATGTTCCTCCTGGACTGTTGCAGTTCTTGCCCGGGGGGATGCTACCGGATGTGCCAGAATAACATATCTCTCCTTCCCGCCTGCAAGGGAGACGGTATCGCCAATCCTGTCAAATACTCAGATGAGAAAGGGGCAGACCTCCTCATAAGACCAAATACTCCAGAATAGAGAAGCGCTCCGCACCAAAGTAAATATCTCTCTTGACTAATTTCGTCTCCCGCCTCCCCCACGCACACGCAGGGTCCGTACACGCCAGGCTGAGGCGGACCTGTCCATATGCATAAATACCCTAGACTGGGGGCACCTGGGTGGCTCAGTCGTTAGGCGTCTGCCTTCCGCTAGGCTCGTGATCCCAGGATGCTGGGATCAAGCCCCACATAGGGCTCCCTGCTTCGCAGGAAGCCTGCTTCTCCCTCTCCCACTCCCCCTGTTTGTGTTCTCTCTCTTGCTCTGTCTCTCTCTGTCAAATAAATAAATAAAATTAAAAAAAAAAAAAATACCCTAGACTGGTGGATCACCACCACCGGCCTCATTACTCTTTGGACTGTGGCATGTCTTTTACCCAAGTAAATACTTTTCAGATTGAGAGTGATGTCCCCCTTCTTCCCCACAGATGCGGTAAATATCCCTTTGACTGTGATATACATCTCTCCATATGAGTCTCTCTCTAAGTTTGGGGCAGGTCTTCCCTATTGGGTAAATATCCCCTTGCCCTAGCCAAATGCATCTCAGACTAGACTCAACTCCCTGACCCAGGTAAACATTCCTCTCGAGATAGGCCTAAGGATCACCCCCATAAATGCTTCAGTCTCCTCACTAGGGTCATTACCTTCTACCCAGGTGCAAAACCTGTCTTCATTCGTTCCTTCATTGAACACCTATGTATTTGTGCTAAGCACTGTTCTGGGCATTGGGAATACGTTGATAAAAAACATTTTAATTCCTGACCTAACAGTTTACATTCTAGTTGGGCAGACAGACCAAAGATAACTAAGTAAAATATATAGGGAAATGCTGTGGAGAAAAATATAGTAGGGAATGGGGAATAGGGTGTGCCAGAGAGGATTGCACTTTTTTTTTTTTTTAAGATTTTATTTATTTTTGACAGAGAGTGTGTACAAGCAGGGGAAGCAGCAGACAGAGAGAGAGGGAGAAGCAGGCCTCCCGCTGAGCAGGGAGCCTGATGGGGGCTCGATCCCAGGACCCTGGGATCGTGACCTGAGCTGAAGGCAGACGCTTAACCATCTGAGCCACCCAGGGGCCCCAAGGATTGCACTCTTAACAGGATGGGCAGGAAAGGCCTTGATGAGATGGTAACATTTGAATAAAGACCTAAAGGTAAGGGAGCAAACCCTAAAGATAGCAGGAGGAAAAGCATACTGAGGGTGGAGAACGGGGGGGCAAAGGCTCTGAGGCAAGGACGTGCCTGGTATGTTTGAGGAGTAGTCTGCAGATGGTGTGGCTGGAGCAGTGAGGAAGCTGGAGAGAGGTAAGGAGGATGGCCTGTCATTTGAGGCCTAATGAATGAGCTGGGGGCCACTGCTCCCAAATTTTGCTCAGAGTGGTGACATGATCTGAATATATTTTAACAGACTCTCTCTGGCTGTGGGGTTGACTGTAGAGGTATGGGAGAGAAGGGGAGATGGTGGTGGCTCGGACCAGAGTGGAAGCAGTGGAGATGGTGAGATTCAGGGTGTATATTGACAGTAAGACTGAGGGCGCCTGGGTGGCTCAGTTGGTTAAGCGACTGCCTTCGGCTCAAGTCATGATCACAGGGTCCTGGGACCGAGCCCCACGTCAAGCTCCCTGCTCAGCGGGGAGCCTGCTTCTCCCTCTCCCTCTGCCTGCCGCTCTGCCTACTTATGCTCTCTCTCTATCTCTCTGTCAAATAAATAAATAAAATCTTTAAAAAAAAAAAAAAGAAAGAAAGTAAAACTGACAAAATCTGTAGGTGGCTCGGTGTTGGGGTGTGAAAAGGAGAGGGATAACAACCGAGGTGTTTTTCCCGAATCAGCTGTACTGGGAGAAGCTGAGGAGGTCAGTTTGGAACATTAAGTTTGCAGGGCCTGGTAGACATCACAGCGATCACATGGACAGGGCAGTAGGACATACAAGTCTGCAGTTCAGAAGAGAGACCCCATCTGGACATAAAATTTGGAATCCTCTGGCTATAGGTGGTATTTCAGCCACTGATTGGATGAAATCAAGAAAAGGCGTGTAGATGGGAAAGAGAAGACATCACAGGACTCAACCCTGGGTCCTCTAACCTGTGAGGAGCTAGGAAAAGAGAAAATAGCAGCTAGAAAGGTAGGAGGCAAACCAAGAGAGGGCACTGACCTGGGGCCTGGAGAAGTGTTTGAGATGTAAGGGCCCACCAGCTGCATCCATCCTCCAGACCTGTGACTGGACAGTCTGGACGTATGTCATCCATGACGCCATCAAGAGCTGCTCCGGTTGGGGCACCTGGGTGGCTCAGTCGTTGGGCGTCTGCCTTCGGCTCAGGTCATGATCCCAGGGTCCTGGGATCGAGCCCCACATCGGGCTCCCTACTCGGCGGGAAGCCTGCTTCTCCCTCTCCCACTCCCCCTGCTTGTGTTCCCTCTCTCGCTGTGTCTCTCTCTGTCAGATGAATAAATAAAATCTAAAAAAAAAAAAAGCTGCTCCGGTGGAGTGGTGGGGTCGGGGTGGAAAAGAAAAAGACAGCAAGTTAGAGACGTGTCTTTAGGAGCTTTGCTGTATGGGGATCAGATACATGGGGCAGGAGTTGAAGGTGGATGTGGGTCCAGAGAAGAGAGAATTGTGGGAGCCACGTCCTTGAGAAGGTGTCAGGGAGGGTCTCCCTAGGTTCATGGGGGCCCCAGGCAGCTCGTCCAGACTAACAAGAATGAAGACCACTGTGTGGATCTCATTCTGTCGGTGTGGTTAAGTTCCCCTCTGAGGGCAGATTCTCCGGGAGCCAAGAGAATCCCTCAGTTCTGCAGCTCCTCCTCCCCAACCCAGGAAAGGTGCCCTGACCCCGGGGACCTTCCCAGGTCCTCCCCAAGACTTAGCTCTTCTGCTCCATTCACATGCCTGGAGTTTCTTCGACGTCAGAAATATTGAGGAGGGTGGCCCCTCCCGTGTTCTAAAACTCCCAAACCCCAGGACCCCATGCAGACTCTGGAGAGTATGTCCCACCCGCTTCTGGCCTCGGCGTCTCTTAACGGGGTTGTTAAAAAAGCGGAGTCCGAGAATCCACCGCGCACCTGCCAAGGTTGGCCCCTCTGCAGTTGTAAGCACCGCGAAGATTCTGTGTGCAGGCCGGTGTTTTGAAGCTGTGCTCCCGCTCTGTGTTTCCCACTGCAGATTGTGGACCCAGCTGCACGCTGGAATGGCCCTCGGAGCTCGGATGCGCCCAGTGCCTGTTTCCCCGCCCCCGCAGTTGAATCGGAATCTCTGGGGGAGGGGGCTGGGCATCAGGATCTTCTCAAGCTCCCCAGTGATTCCAGTGTGCAGCCGGGCTTGAGAAACCACAGCTGCGTTCCGTAGTGTTTTTCTGTTTTTGTTTTTAAATGGAATAGAGTAGGGGCGCCGGGCTGGCTCCGTCCAAGGAGCATGTAACTCTTGATTCCAGGGTGCTGAGTTCGAGCCCCACGTGCGGTGTGGAGGTCACTTAAAAATCTTAAAAGTAAATAAGGAAAAGTAAATTAACTGGAATAGAGTAGAAAGCATCAGAGTGTGTTGGAGCAGTGACAGGAAGAGTTGTTTTGTGAGGCCTTTGTTCTGTTTACACACGCAGACATTTGCATGAGTGTGGAGCGGCGCCCATGCAATATATGTCTTATTGGGAGTTATGGAGAGAAAAGTTTGGAAGCCACTGGTGTAGTCCAGTCTCTTCATTTTGCAGAGGATAAAACTGAGGCCCAGAGAAGTGAGCACAATCAGCCAAGGTTACAGAGCCAGCAGGAGGCAGACAGGACTGGAAGCCAGGCTTCTTCTTCCCCCCCCCCCTTTTTTTTTTAAAGATTTCATTTATTTGACAGAGAAAGCACAAACGGGGGGAGCGGCAGGCAGAGGGAGAGGGAGAAGCAGACTCCCCTTTCTCAGGGGTCCCAACTCCTGCAGAGTTTGGGGACGTGAGCCTGAGGGAAGAGAGCCAGGTTGGAGGAAGCTTTGGAAGGAGCTGAGACCAACTGCAGTAAGGGGGAGGAAGGTTAGCTCTTGGGAAGAACTTTCTGTTCAAGTAAACAACAGCTAAAGTCAACAACTCCACACATGCCCCGCAGTGTCCTCAGTGTCTTATGATCGACACGATGGGCGAGGCGCCATTATCATCCCCATTTCACAGATGAGGAAGCATAGGCAGAGACGTGAGTGAAGCAGATGCTCAGAGAATCACTGCCAGCAAATGGTGGGCTGGACTGGGGCTGACGGGGGTGGGGAGGCCTGGCTGCTGGCCTGGTCCCCACACTCTCAGGGCGCTGCGCTGCCCCCCCCAGGAAAGCAAGATGTGCATGAGGCCTCCCCTGCTGTCTCCCCAGGGGATACATCGGTCCTGGCGGGCGTGTATGGGCCAGCCGAGGTGAAGGTCAGCAAAGAGATCTTCAACAAGGCCACCCTGGAGGTGATCCTGCGGCCGAAGATCGGGCTGCCTGGTAATTGGGCCCAGCAGGATCTCCAGCTTCTTCCTCACCGCTGTCCCCAGTGCCCCCTCCGCCCTCCCCCCCTCCCCAGCTCTTGGTGTCTCCTCCCCACCTTAGTCTGTCCTCCCTCACTCCTCTTTCCTGGCTCTATCCCTCCTCCTTTCCACTAACCTGGCGTTCCACTCATTTACATTCCATTCATTTACTCGCCCCCTCACTCCCGGGGCTGGGTACATGGGGATGGGAGTGGGCAGCAGCAGGGGACCAGGGAACTCTGGGGTTTTCCTCCTGCAAGAGGCTCCCTTGCTGGAGCCAGAGGGGGCAGGGGTGAGGTGGGTATCAGTCAGGCCCTGCCTCCTTCCCACTGGGGATCCTCTGTCATCCATGCAGGGTCCTGCGCCAACCCTGGCGGAGACAGCAGGCCCTTTCCAGAGGCCTTGGGTGGGGCATATGGAGGAAGGTGAGCCAGATGGAAGGGAAGAGGCTGACAACCCCACCCCACCCCACCCCACCCCTGATTTCCCCAGGCGTCGCGGAGAAGAGCCGGGAGCGGCTGATCAGGAACACGTGTGAAGCTGTGGTATTGGGAACACTGCACCCCCGCACCTCCATCACTGTGGTGCTGCAGGTCGTCAGCGATGCTGGCTCTGTATCCTTTCCCCTGGGCCGCCACCTCCAGGAAGTCCCTCAGAAGCTCCCCGATGGCCTCCCTTGCTCTGTTAGCCAGAAGGCCTCCAGACACTTGATAGTCACCCGCTTGTTGAAGAACAGAAGAGCAGACACTGCTTGAGGACTCACTGAGTGCCTGACACATATTAACTCACTTAATTCTCACAGCATAACAAATAGGTGCCACTTTTATAATCCCCGTGTTCCAAATGGGGAAACTAAGGCACAGCAAGGTCGGTTCCTATCTAGTGATCGGCAGAGCCAGGATTTGAGCCCAAGCCATCTGCTCCCAGAGCCCAAGGCCCCTGGCAGATGGGTGTTCTTGTGTCTTCATGTTTGCAGTGAGGAAGCAGGCCCCGAGAGGGAAAGTTGCTTGCCCAGGGTCACACAGCTGGAAGGCAGCAGAGAGAACTCATGCCCAGGCCTGACTGCCTGCAAAGCCTGTGCCGTTGACCTCCACTCTGCCCTGGCGCAATGCTAGGGGAGTCCTGAGCAGGCTGAGCAGTTGGGTCAGCAGCTTGGCCTAGAAAGACCCCTGTGGTTCGGTGAGAGGTTGGGGCTGAGAACCAGAAATGGGCGTTTCTAGAGGGGCTTCACAGAGCAGGAAACTGAAGCCCAGAAGGGAGGTGGAGTGGAGGGGCAGTGGCAGAGCTGGGACTGACTGACCCTAGAGCTGGACCCTTAGCCGCTGTGATGGGGCTGGGGGCAGAGACTAGAGGAAACTGAGCGAGGGCCGGCTGTCTGGCTCCAGGCCCGGGCTCGCTCCTCCCTCTGTCACCTGGTGGTGGCTGCCTCCACATGTGATTATGGGAGGTTCCTCCCCTCCCCGCCTTCAGTTTCCCTGAAAGTGCTTGGCACGTGCTTCAGGACAAATCTGTTGAGTATCATTATGACCCCTGATTGAGGCTCAGAGAGAGTAAGTCACTTGCTCAAGCTCACACAGCTGAGAGGTGGCAAAGGCGGGTCAGGAACCCAAGGCTGCTTGATTCCAGAACCACCTAGAAGCACTGTGCCCTCCCGCCTCCCCGTGGTCAGTTAGGGAAGTCTGGCCACAAGCGCTGGCGGGCCATCCCTGTGGTGGGAGCGCTTCTTAACCCCGCCCTGTGGCACCCAGCTCCTGGCCTGTTGCCTGAACGCCGCCTGCATGGCGTTGGTGGATGCAGGGGTGCCCATGCGGGCCCTCTTCTGTGGGGTCACCTGTGCTCTGAACTCTGACGGCACCCTCGTGCTGGATCCCACAGCCAAGCAAGAAAAGGTAGGTTTGAAGGCCGGGCTGGTGAACGGCTGCGAGCAGACACTGCCCCTCGCGGCCTCGCTTCCCCAAAACACTTGGCTCCTATCACATCGGTCCCAGCTGGCAAGCTCTGGTCTGTTCTTCAGGGCAGGTGCTAGAACCCCGGCTCAGACCCACTTAAGTTAAAAGGGAACGTATGGACCTTCGCTATGAAACTCAGAACAGAGGTCCAGCTAGACCCAGGGTCTCAAATACCATAAGGATTTCCTCGTCTGGCTTCTCAGCCTCTGCTGTCTTATGCACATTGGTTCCACTCGGTTCCATTCTCTAGCCAGCATCTTGCCCGAGCCTGTGATCAGCCCCTAGAGCTCCATGCTTTCCTCACCAGCTCAAGTTCACAGCACCCAGGGCTCTGGTTATTCCGAGATACTCACCCCGTCCTGTGATGGGCGCATCCCGTCAGGAAAGCCGAACCCACCTGAGGTATTTCAGACCAGATAGGGAATTTACTGCAGGAAATGGGTCATGATCGTGTTGGAAGAGCCAAAGGAGCAAACAGGAGGGAGGGCGATACCCAGACACTAACAGCCTGTAGGGAGCTCCCAGTCTGCGCTGTTGGGAGTCATAGGTGGGTCTGGACACACATGAGGCGTCCTGGCTTGGCCCTGGAGCCCCCCACGCCCCCAGCCTCCACGACATAGCCCCTGCTTCTGTCAGTGACGGCGGGATGTGGCCCTCCCTCCTTCAGCCTCACCCCCAGATTACCGGGGGCACCTAACTGGCCAGGGAGTCTGGGAAACAGTTTGCCAGCTTCCAGCCCTGGTGGGACAGAGCCGGGAAGGGGAGCAGGGGGCTGAGAGGTACCGGCTGATGACTGGCCGCGCGGCCGCCCCTACAGGCGGGAATACTGTGTCCGGAAGCCCCTGTTGGGACCATGTGGGTGGCATCGGGGCATGGGAAGCACTTCCACAGAAGGAAAGGCCAAGAGCATTGCCCAGGGAAGCAGGGGCGGTGCGTAGACAAAACACCTACACTTGGGAGTGCAGGCTGGGGGAAGGGCAGGTCCCCTCTTTGGGACTAGCTGAGGCTCTGCCCGAGGGGAGAGTCCAGGTGTCCTTCCTACCTCATCCCTAGGAGGCCCGGGCCATCCTGACCTTTGCGCTCGACAGCGTGGAACGGAAGCTGCTGATGTCCACCACCAAGGGGCTCTACTCCGATGCTGAGGTACCTGTGTGGAGATGGGGTGAGGGCCAGATCCCTCCTGGATGTGAGGTCTTGTTGGGACCCTGCAAGGTTGAAGGAGAGCCCCTTCCTTACGTCCCTTCTGTATGTAAAAGGCATTTTCAAACGTAGTAGGCACAGAAACCCTTGTGGGAATTTTTTTTTTTTTTAATTTTTTTTTTAAGATTTTATTTATTTTTGACAGAGA